ATTTTTTAATTATGGCTTCAGTTTAAACTACAGCAGAGCCTGTTAACTTAGTTAACGATGTTTTGTTTCAGGTACCTGAACCTTCGAATGGGATTTCGTCCGCAGGATGCCATTTCCGGTAAGATCTGTGTTTGTGTCTTTTATTTACTCACTTATTACGAGTAGGTCTTCGGAGAACCTCCACTGTCATCTGTGCCGCTGAGTACACCTGACTCCTTGTGCTCTGACGGTGGACCTGTACCTCTCCTTGGCGATTGTGTAGGCCTACGATCACGCCATTTCCTCGATGATCATTTGTTCGTATCCAACACGAGACTGTCGTCCCGTTGTGTTCGTGATCCTCAATTATTACTGTTTTAAAAGTCCGGATCTCGGGTGTCCACGGTAAAACGAGGAGGTATGGTCTTAAGAAGAAGTTTGTTAATGTTGAAAAGTGTCTAGTAGAGGGCGCACGTGTCATTTCAGGGGGTCACTACGGCGGGAGCTGCTGCTTAGAATTGGAGGCTACGTCAGGGGTCGCAGCATCAGCGACTAATTTCTCGCGTGCTCCGGCCGTTATTAACTTGAGAGCAATGACTGGGGAGGCCATTGCTGGTCGCGTCGTATTGTGAAATGTTTCGGTATAAGAATCTCTCATACAGAATTTGTATGCAGATTTTACACCTCGAACAGCATGGAGCGAATTAATTTGACATTTTCACGGTTTCCGGGCTTCAAACTTAAGGCGTCGCGTGTATCAACTGGATCATGTCCAAAACCGAAGCAAGCCTTGGGAACGAAAGAGGCATTAGTTGCCTCAAGAAACTTCATCGTAGACTTAGCGCCCTCACGCGCCAGATGGCCGATGTCCTTTGTCGAAATTTGCCCGCAGTTCGTGTATGTCGCTGTTGCACCAACCGGCCCTTTCTTGGCTGGCTGCTGGTCGGCGCTACTCTCATGCGTAAGGGCGAGGCTAATCGCTCTCTCTCCTTTGCCTGTAGAGAACCGAAATGCTGGGCTGTTATTGGGGAGATCAAACGCGACCCTGTCAAAGCGGTTCACACTCAGTCGAGTGTGCTTCTGTTTTAACCCGGAAGGGGATCCCCCAAGCTTCGAACGTACGCATGGGTGCGCACACTTCACGCTAGAGGACGGGCGGGCGGGCGCTGACGCACCTGAGGCGTGAAACTGTGGGCAGAGTGACCGACTAACTTCGTTTTTCTTAGAAGTGCTTGATAGTGTAGTCCTCACTGAGAAGCTGATAGTCGCTCAGGTTCTCAAGAAATTATCCCTTGTTTTTGGAACATGGATGCTCATTTTCGTGTCCACAACAACCTCCCGCTTTTCTTTCAAGTTCTCTTCTGTATCGTCTTAACCTAACCTAACCTATCCTTCACAAGTATCCCCATCTTTTGGAATGTTCTTGCCCTGACTTGGGATTGAAGTTGATCTACATGTGGCTTCAGACTAACATGATTATGGTCACTCAGTTTAATAAAGTTAGGTGGATATAAGTCGGAGAAAAATTGTTCTTCAATTGAGCTTCGAGAATTTAAAGGCCTATATTCCTCAAAACCTTGGACTTAACTTCTTATGATCTTGAGGTGACGTTGACCCATCCATGACCTCACAGTGACATGATTATGGTCACTCACGTTTCTACAGATCGGCAGAAATTTGCGTTTGAAAAAATGACTTTCGAAATACGTTGAATATTTTGAAAGTCCCTCTTCGGAAATGCCCTGCCCATTTCACCCAAGATTGCCTCTCCCTTCAAATGCCTGGTCGGACACAGCTGGCAAGAGTTTGTCTTCATAATCCTGATTGTCTGGTGGGGGCTTAACGGCTCTTTGATCAGACTGTCTTGTTGTGTTCCGTGATTTGAAACGCGGAGTGTACCTGCTGCCTTTGTGTTGAGCAAACCTCCTAGACGAGGCAGATAAGAGCAACACGGGCTGTTGGTGTGAGACATTAATAACTGGTATGAATGTCAGTGGGGGCCGAGCTAAATCACCCTGCCCGCTCGGCGGCGGGGTGGATGCAGTCCGACGGGAACACGAAAGAGGAGAATCCTGAAATCAAGAAATTCACAACAAACACTTTGCGAGGAAGTGAAGGGGACAGCGCTCTAAAGTTTCCTCTTCGTTGATATTTATCGGAATTCAGTAAATGTGCTGAATTTTCTTAGCGACTCTCATTCCTAATCAGCGAGGACCACCCGTTACATTTTCGAGTGTTCTAGTTCTTGAGACCGCCGACAGTTTCAGAAACTTTTCGGGCACAAACCCATCGTAGGTGCAACGCAAACATGAAGTGAGCGAGCCATTTCTCGCGCCGTTGAGATTCCCGACGCCTTGCGGGAGACGTCACGGCGTTCGACTGCTAGTTTTATCCCACTTCTCCATCCCATACGAACGTCGTGTTTTGCAGAGCCATTCGGCGTCCAGCGAATCTCGGCCCACAGACAGGTTTCTCGCGTAGTTTATGCAGTTTCTTAAAATAGACCACATTTCTGGTATCGATTTTTATAGTCACTTATCTTGTCATTCTTTGTTGTATGCAGTTGATATTTTTTTTAAACCAGAAATCTAATCGTTTCCAAGGCATCAGAAATAAATGTTTTTGTCAAGTGGCGATGTTTGAAGCGCGGTGGACGTTTAGACAGTCGCTTTGTTTTAATCTGCTTATGTCCTGTGTCTCTTTCTTCGCCATTCTGTTTCCTCCTAGCATCCCCCCCCCACCCCCGGTTGCCCTGACCCGCACACTTTTGCGTTCAAGGTCTGAAGGTTAAGGCTCTGCTGTGACTTATTGCTTCCTCGAGTGCCCCGGTTCAGGATCGTGCGGTCCAGGGTCTTGAGAAATTAATCGCGGTGTAGAAGGGGGGGGGGGTGAGCGAGGTGCGTGGAACATTAATTAGCGCGGAGTGTCGGTATCGAGATGTAAATCACGGTAGTAGCAAGAGGCACCGCACTAGGCCCCACAGTCGCCGCCGACCCGTAACTGCTGAGAACTGTAGCCTGTTTCGCTTCAATATGCGCGTTCACATGACGGCGACACCTCGGCCTGTCTCGAGTTCGCTCCGTCACCTCGTGTGCAGGCTTAGTTATGTACGCACTGCACTGGAACCAGTTGTTTGATGGTCTTTCGCTTGTAAATGGGGTTCTTGGAGAGGTCATCGCCTCTCCTGCAGATGGCGTGTAAGGTTGCGTTGCGATGTCCCTGAACAGCGTCTCCTGATTCAGATACGAACACAGGTGGTACACACAGTTACCACTCTGAGATAAATGGTTGAATGGATCGTACGGAAATGTTATGATAGCGGATTTTTCGCGCTGTCTTCGTCACGCGTGCAGTCGACCCTCGGTTCGTGTCTCTTCTTCGGTTTCGCTAAAATGTATGAAGTCAGAGACAGTTTCAAAAACGAAATACGCGCCTTCAATACAAATAAATCTTAGATTTCCAGCAGCTGACCAATTTTTTCGTTTAACATAGGATGATTTAATAAAGCATTGCATCAGTATTTTCGTGTCGTTTTTAATAAAGTTTAAAGTGAATGCATAACGAGGTGACGGCAGAAGTCATCTCCGAAACTGATCAGGTGTCGATTAAATTTGGAACTGGGCGACTAGCTGTATCGGTGTTGTACAGAACGCGTCGTAAATCGGAAAGTTACGTGTCCTGCTGGTATCAGGGTAGGAAGGAGAAATCACTTTTATTTGTCCCGGTACAAAATTTTGATGACAAGTAACTGAACACAAAGTTGCAGTAGTCGTATCGGAGGAGCACGCAGCGGCTGTGGAAATGTCCCGTCATTGTCGAACATCAAGATGTCATAACGAGTCCTGTGCTGTTGCTCTATTGAATGTCGTCTGTCCGTGGGATGTAAGAATGAGCTTCCTATCTCTGAGATGTAATTTTGTGCGCCTTAACAAGAAGCCTCGCCAACTGGACCAAAACAATAGACCCATCGAAGTTTTTGTCAAAGTGAACTTCGAGTTTTGCAGACACGAGAACGGCTTGTGAGTTGCTGCACCGCTTATCGGAGCATTTCCCGTATTCTGATGCTGATTTTCCGACTCGGTGCTCTAAGGCGACTTTTTCATCTTCTGTGTGCGTTGTCTTGCCGTCTGCTCCTCGCTCCTTCGTCTTCCACTTCTCCCTGCGCCCTTCTGGTGCTTCCACGTTGCTGTGACGTGTCCGCACTACGGCACAGCCCAGAACAACGCATCGACGGCTTCACCGCCGCGGGAACCTGAGATCTCGCAGGAGATAACACGAATAGCCGTGGTATTATTACTGTCAGCAGTAAAGTACAATCACGCTAAAGTAAATCTGCACGAAGAATCTAATTTCGTTTGTATGTTGTAGCGTTTGAGAAAGCCAGAGGACACAAGATTGAACGACAGAACTATGTACAGGACATTCTGTCTGGCAGGGGTGTACAAGTGGAGCCCCATCGGTTGTATGAAGGTGGCGAACCGAGTCCTCGCCGAAGCCGCGTGTCTTCTTCCCGTGACAGCCTCGTGTTCCAGTCGCCACTCGCCGACACTTTTCAAGACTATCCAGTTTGTAGAAGGAGCCGAGGGTACGAAGGCGCTCGCCACCGACGCCAGGAAAGTGATTCGCTGTCCCCGAACAAACACAGAGACCGGCGTGCCGAAAGGTACAGGCGTCCCGCTGACAGTGACCGAAGAAACCGCTCACAAAGCGGCCCTTATTAAGGACAGGCCGAAGGCAAGTCAGTCGTTGCGTCTTGTATTACTTCTCCATTTAAGTTATTATACTTGTAGGAAAAAATTTTCAAGCTTATAAATCATTTACCCAAGACGTGTTTGTTGCCCTGATGCCATAAATTTGTTTCCAAGATTAGGTTGCATTTTGTTCACTGTTCGACGCGGATTGTGTATTTGTGTTGCACAATCAAGATCGCCTCTCGGACCACAGGAACCTGAAAACAACGTCAGTCGCCGACCAGTTACGTTCTCGCAGAATCGCGCCCTAAAACGTAGCCCCTTCTTCTCCCTGACGTAATCGGGCAGGCCAATCAGAGCAGAGAGGTTCTGCGTTGCCCAGACAATTACGAAGCCTCTCAATGCTACTGTCCGGCTACGTCTCGTACATTGCACGAATACGCGCTGAGGAGTGTCGATGTGATAGATGGCGATGTTGCAGGAGGCTGTGATGTTGACACTGGCACGTAATTTTGTGCTCTTTCGTATTAATAATGAATTATGACGAGCAGCAGAAGCGTTCATTTGCTTTGAACCAGACAACTTTTAATTTGACTGATATTTTATGCGCATTAAACTGTATAAGCCCCTGATGTCGGCTCCCATAAAAGAGTAGCCTTTTGCCTTAAGACGTATCTTGAGGCTTTTTCAAGTATAATTTACATATTTAAGTTACGTTCCTTGTTTACAGTGTAATCTCCACGTGAATTTATAGGCCGTGTGCCTCGCTCACATCATAATCGTGAACAAAGTTCCTATTGGTATTTCTTTTAGACAGCTCCAAATTAAGTGGGCTTTATTTATATTACAACTGTCGTTTTAATATTTTACAGAAAATACACGTGATGAGAGTTGATTTCAAAGACAGTGGGACATTTTCTTGGCATTACGATAGGACAGAATAAAGAGGGGACTGGCCAAAAGATAAAATATTGAGCCAGCAGGGCGGGGCACCGCATTCCATACATAATTACTTCTGCTCTGTGGTGGACCGTGTGAACTGAACTTACAAGCACATACACACGAATAATATAAAACAAGATTCCAACTTCAGTTACCCTACTAAGAAGGCATTGAACTTGGCTGTTACGAAGTTTTAAAGTCACTCCGTGGAACAGCGTCCTTTTATGGAAGCTGATAGTCTCACAGCTGGTCAAGGAGTTCTCTTGATTTTATGGGAAAACGACGCCTGCTCGTCAGAGCTCGCCCGACGTCTCTGTCCTGAGCGAGATGAATCCTGTCCGCACTCTCACGCGCTCCTTCTGTAATATCCACTTTAATATCATCCTCCCATCTACGCCTAGGTCTCCCAAGTGTTTTCTTCCGTCCAACAGTATGGTCACCGTTTCTCTCGTCTGCCCGTGCTCGGCTTACGAGTGGTCTGTGACTTGAAGGAACACGACTCCGGTGAACGTGAAGGCTGCAGGAAGTAGTGCGCGTGGACGTGACAAAGCAGTTTGTTTGTGACGCGAGGACCAGCATCGCATTTCCTCGTAAGAAAGGAGTCTTCGGAAGTGGCAGAACTTTCTGAACGAATGGCCTTTTCCATTCACCGCGTTTTCGTTTCGGAGCGCCGTTGTGAATGGAAAAGTTCGGTTGCGACCAGAAATGCAAGTGAGAGGGAAGATTCACCGAACTTTCTCTCCGATGAAACTTTATTTTTGGGGTAAAAAAGACTTTACGGTTTGGGAAGCGATTTCAGACACTGCTTTGTCGCGTGTCGCAGTTCGAATCTCTGACCCGGTGCGCCGTCTGTGACCTCGCAGGTGGTATGTTCGACTCCTAACAGAGGCCGTTCTGTCCACGACCTGTGTATCGAAGACTCCGTTTTAATATTGTTCTAAGAACCATGTCAGGGTCTGTCATGTCGCCTCTTTCTTCGAGAGTTGGCGCTAATTTCTCTCCTTATATTTTATGCGTAAAATTGCCATTCAGCCTCTGTTCGCCCTCAGGTCTTACGCTTTGCTATTCACTCTTCCAGATGTGAAACAAACTGAAAATGACGTGTAACCTCCCGATTTCGACTGGTCCGCTGTGTTTCCATACAAACATAATTTCATACATGGGTTCTCGCTAGGCGGCTGAGATTTTAACAAATTGTCTACGGACTTAAGGCAATATTCTGTCCCATAAATTCCCAGATTTCCTCTACAAGGATTTCGGTGCGTGGTTTAACCAACACCTACAAAGAGAGGGAAAGTCGGAGGCTCATAAAAATGAAACGAGCACAAAGTATAAACCCGCAGGTTGTAACCCATGGCATTAATTGCAAATAAAAACTGAAGTCTCCGCCTCCGTGTTGAAAAGAAACGTTAAACAGCGCGAAACATTTCTCACGCCCAAGGTTTGAGCAGACGAAGGAGGGCCGACTTTCGGACACCAGCGGCTTGTATCATAGAGAGTACTGATCCAGATTTCGGGACCCCGAGAAGCCCCCTTCATCCGGGTACATGGCAAACGCTTCAGTGGGAAACATGAAACATGATTGCTACTCAGCTTTTCAGGGTGAGGCCACGTGTGAATTATACAGTCACGTGATTGTACGTAATTTTTCAGGATTTTCTTCTTTTGTTTCCAGCGGTGAAATTTGCGACTTATATAAATTATTTTCACTCGTATTTGTCAAAACATTGGCTGCACCGAGCCGGGAAAGACTTCGTTTAAACATCTTAACGCGCCAATTCGTTTTCTACGAGGACCTGCCTTCCTTACGAACCTGGGAATTTCGATTTCGGGTCGTAATGCGCCCGTGCGAGGCAAAGTGACTGTCTCGCAACAAAATTTATCCGAAATTCGTTGAGTGGGTTCGTGGCAGTGCCCACAGTTCCACTCGCCTTTGTCTTTCGCCGTCGGCATTGGTTGGTCCTGAGATCCTGTGGTCGGAGGTGCGAAGGAACCTCCTTCAGTGGAGTCCGTTTGCAGCAGCTATTAATTGCTCGTGCTTTGTTTTACTTCCTCGGTGTTGCTGGCAGAAGCCGTAAACGCCGCTGTCTGAGTGGTTCGGATTTTGCGAAGCCGACGGGGCGCAAAAGGGGTACAAGTGACGTACGCAGAACTGCGAAGCTCGTCTTTCCAGAGGACGTGTGATCGCGTTTTCTAGGATTTGGCCGTACTCGGTTGATATTTTGCCAGATCCTCTGCATTAGCGGGGCGAAGGACTGTGGAAGGAGCGGTGGTGGAATTTGAGTATGCTTGTCTGACAGTCTCATGAATCCTTCACACCCTATTATTTTAATATTATCCTTCGATCTCTGCCTGTTCCTCTAATGGGCCCATTCACTCCAGACCGCATGACGCAATAACGAGATTTGAGTGTTCTGTGCTCAGGGGAGTTACTTGTTCTTTTTTAATATATCGAAAAGAGCTGGTGGGGGCGGCGGCGAACACGTCCGAAACGTCGGTAAAATTCTACTGCACTAAACGACGCGACGTCGCAGAAGACAGTCCTCTTCATAACTTGTTCCTTACCATCCGCCTGTCCCGTCTACGCCGTCCTTTTCCAGTTTCTTCGTTATGTACGAGACAGCGTACAAAATTTATACTGATCTATGCGTTATTATTATTCGGCATTGTGAAATACTGCCATAAAACACTTATGCTTAAAAGTGAATTAGTTTTAAAGTTAATAGAAACTTAAACAAACAGCACGCCGGGGTGCCAATTTCCTCGAGTACTCCTGGCGCGAAAGGCAAAGAGGTTGCAACAGAATGTTAATGGCGTGTTTCTTTGGATCATGGCAGTGAAACCTAATCATTTCGTAGACGTCATAAAAGGTAGAGAAACAAACGTATCCAGTTTTGTGTTTGAATGGCTCATCTGCCCAGAATTATCATATTTTTCACATCCAATTAAAATAAAACTTACCTTCGTCTTAAACGTTATTTTTATGGCTCCGTTGATCGGTACTGCAGGTGGCTGCACGTGCCCTGTACCTTTGAGACCTGGCCGTTGTGGGGGCGTGCAAGATGGCGTCAGTTCGGATTAGTAGGTCTCTTCCTGTCCGCCTTGATGTTCAGTTGTTACAGGCGTAAATGTGTTGTCGATCGAGACCCCTCAGTCAAGAACCCGGTACTATTTGGTACGAGGCATGTGGGCCCCTGAGCCGCCCTTCCGAGAATCGAACTCCGGTGGCGTGGTCACTGCACTGAAGGAGCTACCCGCCCCGTGGCCTCCCTCATTTGAATGTGCTCCGGCTTTTCAATACAGATTCTGTATCGAGCGTCCATTTGCATAATTGCGCCGTGTAGTTAACACGTGATTACAATTACCGCTAACGTATTCCAGCCCAGGGCTGTCGTCGTGTAAGTGGACCTGGTCATGGCACAGCATCCACACCAGGACAGAGTAATTTAAATTAAATTGATGTATTCAGATTATTAATTGTTTTACTTTGTTGTGTAATGGCTTCCAGTGATTGTCACCAATGCGATCAGAGGACGGACAGACGGACACACAAGCGTGGTTTAAAAGTAGGGTTCCGAAGGAGGAACTTTTTAAGTGGGATTCGATGATTTTCTCGTTTCACCATCCACGGCGGCAACGTCTGGCCGTTCGGAGCCGGGACTTCCCGATTTACCGTGGGGATGAAATTGAATGTGGCTCCAAGTCATTTGGGGCAAAGCAGACTCGGAACTTGCGAACGGGGTAGACGTGAAGGGCGATAGGGTCTGCGTGGGAGGGGCATTCTAGCAGAATGCGCGAATAAGTTCCGCGGTGGACAGGCCGAAGCGGGTTTTTCATTTATGTGTTTACTGTTCCATTATCGAAGTAAAGGGTTGTGTGTCAGTGGGGTTGCTTACACCCCTGTCCGGCCTGCCAAGAGTTGCTGGCTAAAACTAGAAGCCAACAAAACGAAAGAGGAGCGTCTCGGTGAAATATTTGCGGGCTGCGTGGGCGGACTGGGGCAGCTCACATCGATCTGGAAAAGTCGTACGACCGCAGTTCGTAAAATGGATTACTCGGACTGTGACGGCAAGGGGAAAGGGGAAGGTTTCGGAAGGCGCG